GCCCACTTGCTCCTCCCCCCGGCCCCCTCTCTCCTGCCCCCAGACGTCTACTCAATTTCCCCCCCAGACGCCCGCTCGCTTCTCCCCCAGACGCCCACTCGCCTTCCCTCCAGACGCCCGCTCGATTTTCCCCCCAAACACCCGCTCCGCTCCTCCTACCCCCACCTGCCTTTGAATCCCAGCAGCACCTCCTGCAGGACAGCACTTTTCAGACAGAAATCACGGAGTCTCCTCTCCAGCTCCGCAAAGGCCGGCTCCGGTTGCCGAGACGGCCTCTCGTCCTTCCGGCTAAGGAAAGGAGGAGGGGTGAGAAACAGGCTCCACCCCCGATCGCCTGGATGAGAGCACGTAGCCGAAGATGATCGCTGTTCGGACAAGTCCCCTCCCCTCCGCCCTGTGTTCTCCATGGGCTGAGAAAGACGGGACGTGAGGACTAACGGAGACAGGTCGGGAGCGTTCTCTGGGACATTTTTGGTACAGGAAACACACTTTTGAGTTACTATTACTCGTTAAATCCTTAATTGTCACAATCAGTACTACATAGCCTCCCTTTGTAGCTCTCCTCTGGTCTTCTCTCCCTAGAGCAGTGTTAAACTTTTCAAGACCGAGGAACACCAAATAATTTTTTTTATGAGGAACACCAAGGACTTTTTTGTGAGCGGAAGAAAAAAAAAGGTCAGGGGAAAATTATTGAGCAGAAAAAAAAAAAGTCACCTGCCCCTTTAAAAGCGGCCATTTTGAACTCTGTTGTTCTCCGTGGAACACCTCTGACTGCCTCGCGGCACACGGATGTGCCACAGAACACAGTTTAAGAAACACTGCCGTAGAGGGAAAAGTTCAGAAAAAGGCAACAAAAATGATTTGAGGGTTTGGAACGGGTCCCATAGGAAGAGAGATTAAAAGGACGGGGACTTTTCAGCTTAGAGGAAACTAAGGGGGGGATAGGATAGAGATCTGTAAAATCACGACAGGTATGGAAAAGTTATTGACTTGTTCCCACAACGTAAGAACGAGGGCTCACCCAATGAAATGAATAGGAGGTTTCAAACAAACCAAAGGAAGTTTTTCTTCACACAGCGCACAGCCAACCTGTGGAACTCCTCGCCACAGGATGTGGTGAAGGCTAGGATTTCAACCAGGGTTCAAAAAGGAGCTAGATAAACAAGCAGGTTTCAGAGGAACAAAAGGACGCTTTTCTGCATGCAGTGCATAGTCAACCTGTGGAACTCCTCGCCACAGGATGTGGTGAAGGCTAGGATTTCAACCAGGGTTCAAAAAGGAGCTAGATAAACAAGCAGTGGTGAAGTCCATCAATGGCCATTAGCTGAGGAATGGTGTCCTTAACCTCTGTTTGTTTGGAAATGGGGGACAGGAGAGGGATCGCGTGTGGATTCCATTAAAAGAGGCAGCAAGGAGGGGTGCCGCATGGAGCTCAGTGTCACCTGGGAACTCCCTCACTGACCCCAGGCTCCATGTAATTCTGCCGCATTGAAACACCGCAGGGAGCACTGAGCCCCCCATTGGCCCCGTGCTTCCTGCAACGCTTTTGCCTTTGAACTGTAGCAACAGCCCCGGGGCAGTTGCTACACTTCAAAGGCGGCAGCGCCCTTATTGGCTTATCGAACAGTCGGCGCAAATCGCTCAACGTTATTGAGCCCCAAAAAAAAAAAGTCGCCTGTGCCTTTAAGGGGAATTGCGTTATTCTCCTTGGAACACCTCCGCCCGCCTCGCGCCACACTGGAACACACCGACTCTTCGATGAGCTACTTAATCGAAATTTGACGATTAAAGCGTTACCGAGCAGGAAGAGGCGAGAAATGGAGTCAGGAACTTACCCGTTCCCGGTGCTTCCGGCACCCTGAGAGGAAGAAAAAAGATGCAATCAGAAGGGATGCCCAGGCGGTCCTCGCTGGAGTTTTGGGTGTTTGATCCCTGCTCGGACGCTGCGACTGGGGAAAGTTTCTGCCCAGGCCTTTTACCGGAAGGAAAAACGCATCGGCCTGGAGGGTGAAATTGCTGCCTGCCCCGTTAAACCCCTCTTGCTGGTTTTCATTCGGGGCATCGGGGCGCCATGCAGTTTTCTCCACATTTCGGTTGTGTTGAGGTACCCCAGACGTCTCTTGGGTGCCCCTAGGGGTGTGTCTAGACTACAGGGTTTTGTCGACAAAAGTGGACTTTTGTCAACAAAACTATACCTGCGTCCACACTGCCTTTGAGTTATGTCAACATAACGTCGACAGAACTCAGCAGTTTTGTCGACGTATGTAAACCTCATTCTATGAGGAATAACGCCTTTTGTCGACAGAGTTCTGTCGACAGAAAGTGTTATTGCATCTACACTGTCCTTTGCGTCCACACTGTTATGTCGACAAAGCGGCTTGCTTTGTCAACAGAACTGGATGTAGTCTAGATGCTCTTTGTCAACAGAAGCTTTGTCGACTGTATCTGTTGACAAAACTTCTGTCGACAAAACCCTGTAGTCTAGACATACCCTAGACTACAGGGTTTTGTCGACAAAAGTGGACTTCTGTCGAC